TAGTAGAATTACTACACTATTGTAGTAGATTTACTCGACCAATTGAAATACATTTACCACACTCATTGTAGTAGATTTACTATACTCATTGTAGTAGATTTACTCATTGTAGTAGATTTACTACACCATTGTAGTAGAATTACTACACTATTGTAGTAGATTTTACTGGACCAATTAAAATACATTTACCACACTCATTGTAGTAGATTTACTATACTCATTGTAGTAGATTTACTACACCATTGTAGTAGAATTACTACACCATTGTAGTAGATTTACTACACCATTGTAGTAGAGTTACTACACCATTGTAGTAGAGTTACTACACCATTGTAGTAGATTTACTCAAATATTTTTTTTTTTTATTTTAATTTTTGGTACAGGAATAACATATAAAAACAATTTAAGTAACATTTCAAGGATGGGGCGGCATTTTTGTCAGTGCCCCAGGGCGCCAAATTTCTAAATCCGGCCCTGGCCATGCGCCCCACTAGTTTATTCAATTAGTACTTAATCTCCTGATTTAAATTTGTAACCGAAATTAATTAGTAGAATCGACACGGCTCTAAACACCGGATTAACAAAGTGCTGAAACGAATAAATCACGGTACCAACATTCAAAAATCAGAAATTCTTCTGAGCAGGCATACCAACAGCAGAGCATTCATATATGTCAAAACATTTGTCGCAACTGTCGAAACTTAACCTCAATTTCTTATTTTGTTGTTTAGTAATAATTTTTCATTCAGTCAGAAATTTGTTGCAATATTGGATTTTTGTTATGTATGGTAGATTTCAATTGAAGAACACTGGTAAACGTGAACTATTTTGTGTGCATAAATTTGCTTCATCACAAAAATGTATAATTATGTAAGCCAAATACTGCTACATTTACAATCTTTCGTATTATTATATCAAGACTACGTGTATGATACAATATCAAAATTAATTTTTTTTACCATTTCTTATATCTGTTCCATACTAGTGTGCAATATAATTGTTGAAAACTTCAAATATTGTTGACTACAAATGATTGAATTTTAGAACACAATCTTTATTATCAGAATAAGTGCATTATTCAAATCCAGGACTGTTCCAGTTTTTAACAGTAGTAGTTTAAACTGTAGGATGCAACATTGAATAACTGAAAACTTTTAGATCACATAATTTTGCTACTGAAACAAAGCTATTTTTTAAAAAAAAAGATAAAGCATAATTGTGGTAATATTTTTATTGAATGTGAATTAAATATATAGTTATTTACAATAAATAGTTTACAAGTTAAAATCTATTTACACAATGTTAATATTAATGAGTAAAGCATGGCGTGAAAGAAAATTAGAAAACAAATTGTACCACATACCAGTATAACACACAACCACATACCAGTCAAACACAATTCTTCATGATACAAAACTTATTATTAGTAATGTTATAATAAATAAATCAAATATTCACAATTTAAAACCTATCACTATAAAATGTAATAATAAATAAATCATATTTACAATTAAAAACCTATTACCATAATGTAATAATAAATAAAAAATATATCGACAATTCAAAACGTATCACCGTAATGTAACAATTAATATCATATTTACAATTTAAAACCTATTACTGTAAAGTAACAATAAATAAATCATATTGACAATTCAAAACCTATTACCATAATATGAAAAGAAATATCATATTTACAATTTAAAACCTATTACCGTAAAGTAACAATAAATAAATCATATTGACAATTCAAAACCTATTACCATAATATGAAAAGAAATATCATATTTACAATTTAAAACCTATTACCGTAAAGTAACAATAAATAAATCATATTGACAATTCAAAACCTATTACCATAATATGAAAAGAAATATCATATTTACAATTTAAAACCTATTATCGTAAAGTAACAATAAATAAATCATATTGACAATTCAAAACCTATTACCATAATATGAAAAGAAATATCATATTTACAATTTAAAAACTATTACATTATTATAGATTTTTATAAATCAACCAACCAGTCAATTTCATTTGACTTAATTGTCATTGAACTAATCAGTCCTATCTTTACGTTTCAAAGGTTTCTGAACATTTGGGCATATCTTAAAAAAAAAAAGATGTATATAAAATACATAGGATTATAATTACCTATTTGAAAATGTTTAAAACAATTATTATAATCAAAAATCAATATTTATTGATTACTGATTTTTTTTCCCTCGAATATTTAATTCCGGTGCAAAAAGTTCCAGCAATTTGCCTTAAGGTACGATGCCTTGCACCATAGTTTCTTTTCCTAATTGTTATTATATTTAAGAGAATAAAACCAGTTCCCTCTGTATGAATGTATACATACCTGTTTATGTCGTGTATGCATACACATAGAATACATTTTCCTCTTCTCTCGTAAGTCATCAACCATCTGCATTCTTCTTCTTCCCTTATATTAAAATATGCATAACAATTTATTTTCTGGTGTTCCCATGACATGAGACCAAACATTGAAATATGCTGGTGCGTCATCAGTCACAAATGTTGTTGTCTTTATCATCTCTTTTTGATACTCTCATCACTTTCGATTTGTCGAAAGGACAATATAAATATTGCAATAGATTGATTGCTTCACAATATAACTAAAATAAATAAATAAATAAATCAAATTTAAATAAATTAAATAATTTAAATAGCAATTTAAGCCTTCTTGTTATTTGCATTCATTCTTTGACACTCCATTTTTTTATTTGTGCGAACTCCATTACTTTCTTTAAATGAGGACATTTGGTTTAGGATTGTGGTTAAATTTTTTATGCATAGTGCACTATCAACAACCTGTCCATTTTTTATGGCATTTTCAATTTCGCCAGTTAGTTTTAACATAGTAGAGATCTGATCTTCTGGTTCTTTGTCAATTTCATTGTGTGATTCTTCTAAGTCTCTCAACTGTTCAGATTTTTCGTGCATCACTGCTTCCAGAACCGCACGTCTGTATCCAGTATCAATTGGAAATACTCTTACACATGCATGAATATGTTGGCAAATGATGGATCTTACCACATAATCTATGCAAGTGCAAGAGTATGTATGAAAGCATATCATACATGTTTCACATCGCAGTAAAATTAATGTAATAATCTAAGTAATTAAACTAAAGTTAAGAATCTAAGTGAATAAAGTAAATTAATCAATAAAAGTGATAGGGGCTGAAAATAGAATGAAACTAAAAGCTAATGAGATGAAAAAACTCGCGTCTCTTGCTGAAAAGAAACTAACCTTATTCCCTATAGAAGCTCTTGAATCCCGCAATAAAAACAACAAATATAAAATGTAAAGAAATAAAATAGCGCACAATCAACAAAAGCACAAAATGATTAGTACACGTAGCAAAAAAACGTAATGAAAGAAAACGCGAATAAAAAATATAAAATACGAGACGACCGAGTTACACAATAAGCACGCCGAAAAAAAATTATAGTAATGGAGTAATCGTAACAGCGAATCCAACATAAAAAAGTTGAAAGCACAGTGCAAAAGATTTGACAAATCTGTAATGTGTTGCAGCTAACTTCAGCCAGCTTTCTCAGCACTTTGTTATCCGGTGTTTAGAAACTCTAAGTAGAATCGATTTCGAACAAACGAATATCGATATCGATATATCGTATTCGATAAATAATTCACATCACATTGTGTTGTAGCAACAAAATGACAGGAGTAGCGATTGACGCATTCAACATTTTGGCCATGAAAATGTGAATTAAGTCAAATCATATTTAATGATCTCGTCTCTAATTATTAAGTTAATATTCTAAACTTCTAAATTTAATAAGTGTAAAGGTAATATGTGGCAAGTTAATCAATTAAGACGTACTTTGTTTTAAACAAAAAAAAATGTTTTGTTTATATCAAGTTCAATATGCAATTTTCTAATTATTCTTCTTTCTTGTTCTTTTAGGCCTTTTTTAGAAATGGATAAATCCTAAAAAAAAACACCAGAAGAGGTAACATTCTATGAATTTGTATTTGCAGTCCAGAATAATTCACATACCCTTGTGCTGGTATGTGTCTATTGATAATATCTTAAAAAGGATTGAAAATAGATATATTATAAATGTCGAATTTAAATAAGACCTCCAAATCTAATTGCTTTAAAAAGAAACATGCGAGTCTTAGTAAGAAAAAAGGTAGGCGTTGTGCATGGCAGGAGTCATTTTTATCGATATCACAAATTTTAGCTATTAAATCCAATGTACTAGCTTGCGGTTTAACTGAAAATAATGGGAATGCATATCATTCACATTGAAAATTACCTATTAACATAATCTTAAACTGAAATATAAATAACAGCAGTGCATGGCAGAAATGGATATGGTAATCCTATTATACTAATATATAAATATAAAGCACAATCAATTTTTAGCACAATATATTATTACTATAACTGCATTGCATGATGCCTGCCTTTATCAATTCCCACCATTATAATGAAAAATACAGTTAGTACCATAATGTTTCATTAGATTTTTATACTGTAATTTCAACATGTGCATGGTTCTGCTAGAAAATACAAAATGACTCAAATTTAAATAAAATTTACTTTTGAAGCTGAAATAATAAGTTAGCTCTAAAATATAGTCACTTGCGATAGCAGAAGCAAAATTAATAATTTGAGAAAGTTTTATCCATACTATATCAATAAATTGCTATAAAATTTTTGGATTATAATGAAGTATTGACGACTCTTAAATATATTTATTTATATATTATAAATTTATTACAATATAGCACTAGGCATTATACAATTTTTCTTTCTCCAATCACATATAAATTTAAAATATAATTATCCTGATGGAAATTATGCTTAAGAGAGTTGGCTTAGTAAGCTTGTATATAATTAAGCAATATATATTTTTATACACATGCATTTGATATTATTATTTGATTTTATTAATAATGAGTTAAATTTATTATTAAAATATGTATTTATATTTATGTAGTGCTGAGCATGTTTGTGGCAATGGATCAGAGAGCAGCACAAGATGCAGAGGAATTTTTTACTTCGGGAAGAACTGGTCGTAGAAATGCCATGGCTGATATATTAGGTATTCATGCAACAACAACTACTGCTGATATGCCTGAAAGACTGCAAGCTTTAACAACCAAAAGTACATCAGGTAAGATGAGTAAATGTAATATAATTTTAGAAATGCAATTTATGCAGGATTCATTCTATTAGAGCAAAACATATATAATGATTTTTATCTCTCAATTTGTATATTGTTGAAATATATATTTTAGAGACAAGTGAAGATAATGTCTCTATGGAAACAAATACTTCATCTAGTCAAATTGCAGCAAACTCTGCAACTACATTAGGATCCAACCAACAAAATGTTTCAGACGAAACAATGTTAAAAGAAACTGCTTCAGATTCGAAAGATACGTCTGGAAATATATTAACAAAAAATTGAAATTTATTAAAATTTGGCTTTAAACAAATCATGACCTAATAGACCTACTGTGTTTTATCATTTATGTACAAACTTGTATTACTCAGTGTATTATAAAAACTATTTCTGTAATAATAGAAAATTATCAATATTGAACTATATGAAAAAGAACTGATTAGAAATATTTTTACAAAATTAACAATTATCATGAGACAAGTTATTTTATTTATTTGATTACAAATGCAGCTAGGTTAGCTTATATAAAAATCAATCTCATATGTATAAGGCAAAATTTATATCCAGTGATACAGTTCATCTAATTTGCATATAAATTGTTTATATTTAATATAAAACTTAATAGGGTATATATATATATACAAATATATATGTATATATATATTATTTATTGTAAATAATGTGTATTGGCCCTAATTTATTATGAACTGATTAAGTTGATAATTTATAATATTTATTTATTTATTTGACTTTAATGGTAATATTTTTTTATTATTATTAAAATCCTTCAATGGATAGTTGATGATTTATAGTTTATTTAAAATCCATGTGATAAATTAATAGATATTACGATACGTAAATCCTTAGTTTCTGTATGGTTTTGAAACAAATCTGTTATTTTTATTTTGAATAATACCTTATTATGCAATTTGTTCAGAACATGTAACACTGCTACATATTTAATATCAGAATTTCTTTTGAAGATTGATTATCTTAATTATAAACATTTAATCTCATTTAGTTTTTATTAATAAAATAAAGAAATTAACAATGGCATTCCTGTAGTCAAATTGTGTTCTATTTTAATTGTTTAACTTTGCTATTAAAGTTGAACTAGTATAGCTAAACTTTTTGAATAAATTGCATAGAAACCTTCATTGGTAAGAAAGTACTTTTTAAAGATATATTTTTTATATTATTCAAAGACCAAAAACAATAGCTACTTTAAATATAAACTAATTTAAATAGAAGTAAGTTAATTCAATAATAAGACGGATCAATATTAGTAAATGTTTAAAAAATATAAAATATGTGTCATGAATGGTCAATTAAAAATGGTTTCTTTATTGATATGCCTGTATGTTTAAACATTTTGATATTACTCATAAATAAAATACTGTGTTTGTTGATTGAGACGATATTAGAGATAATTAGTAATAATTTGTTTCTTTTGTAATATGTTTTCATAAAATTGAGATCTTATTATTAATTTTTTTTAATTGAACTTATAACACAATGCAATTTGATTTGTCTTAATTTTCTCAATCAACTTTGTATAAAGTTGTAAGATTTTTCTTTTGTGTTCAACATTCAATATCATGGGCATAGTTAAGAAAATGCTTTTTAATGTTATTATTATTACTATGAAATAAATATATTTAATATTTTAAATTTCACAATTATTTTTTACATTAAATCTATAACATAGAAATTATATACAATTTTATATCAAGTATTGGAATAAGGTATGTATCAAGGTGATGGTTAATGCTACAATTTAGTATTTATTATTACAACTCTTTTTTTTCGATTATAGATAGTTCCAAGAATCCAGGACAACTTGCCTGTTCGGATTTTCTGCCTGCAAAAGACAATCCTGACACCTGTGTATCTTCTGAGTTTGGAACATTATAGTGGACTACCTTCAATGCAGACTTTAGGAAGGGCTAACAGGGCCTTCTAGAGTTTCACACAGACTCCATGCACACCTTGATTGTTTACACAAGCACCTATTGATGAAATTGATTTGAAGCAATCAGCTACATCGTGAATGAGGAAGATGAAATATCTGAGCATGAATATTATGATGATACAGCAAGTTGCCTTTGTACCTTTGAAAAGAAGTGAAACGACAGTGTAATTATTTGAAGACTAGTTTTAGTTATATATGATACCCTTTGTATTGACTTTTTATTAATTCAATTCAAATATTTCTTGTAAATCTTTATAGATTTTTTTATGAACCATTTGCAACTAAAATTTTTATACAACTAATGGTGTTCAATACAATACAAGATTATTGATGCATTATTGATTAATGATAATATAATAAGAGTGCCAGTATGTTCTGGCAAATAAAATTGTACACGGAATTCTAATCGTAACTTACTTATTTCTAAAATTCCAACTAAGATAGTTAAAATGTTGTATAATATTAATTATGTACTATCTTATTTATTTCTATTAGATACTGTTACTTACAGTTGTTAGTTTTCATTTTGTACTTAGCTTAAAGATCCATATTCATTTTATTAAGAAACAAAGCAATGAATAATGTATTCTAATTTCTGTTTTACAAGTTGAGTACAAAATATGACATGTATTTAATAGTCATTTAATAGACATTACAATTGCACAGTTTGTGCAATCGAATGCGATATGATAATAAGAAAAGAAATTATCTCTCAATTGTTGTTTATTGCATACAGGACAAATTATATATTAGTTTTAGAGTAATATATTTTATTTGCTAGTTATTATATACATAAATGTAATCTAATTTTTGCGTATAAGAACAATAAAATATTGTGAATTAATAAATTGAGTTTGTATTATTAAAATTAATGAAATGATTATATGTGAATAAACTGTTTTTTTTTCAGTTGATAATATTTAATAACATTCAAATTTTTATTTTAAACAATATTTCTTCGACGACCAGTGAAGAATGGTATAGAAATTGAGTATATAAATTTATATATTGATTTATACTTTATTAGATGTGTATATATTATAATTTATTTAAAACCGGGACCATAATTATATATCTAGTAGCGTATAAAGCGATATATACATGTATGTATTGATATTCCTTCAAATCCGGGATCATAATTATATATCTAATAGCATATAAAGCGATATATACATGTATATATTGATATTCCTTTAAAACCGTTATTATAATTATATATCTAATAGCGTATACAGCGATATATAAATGTATATATTGATATTTCTCCTAAGCCGGAACCATAATTATATATCTAATAGCGTATAAAGCAATATATAAATGTATATATTGATATTTCTCCTAAGCCGGAACTATAATTATATATCTAATAGCGTATAAAGCGATATATACATGTATATATTGATAATTCTGCTAAGCCGGGACCATAATTATATATCTAATAGCGTATAAAGCGATATATAAATGTATATGTTGATATTCCTTCAAAACCGGGATCATAATTATATATCTAATAGCGTATAAATCGATATATAAATGTATATATTGATATTTCTCCTAAGCCGAAACTACAATTATATATCTAATAGCGTATAAAGCGATATATAAATGTATATATTGATATTTCTCCTAAGCCGAAACTACAATTATATATCTAATAGCGTATAAAGCGATATATAAATGTATATATTGATATTTCTCTTAAGCCGGGACCATAATTATATATAATTTCGTATAAAGGAATCCACTAAGATTCCTATGTCCCTAAGGCGATTGCATGCAGCGCCTCTATGCAAAAATGTTCCCAATTCGTGAGGAACTACGTAGCGACATCATATAAATATAATTGCATATAAAGAAATCCAATAAGAATCCACTAAAATTCCTATGTTTCTCAGGAGATTGCATGCAGCGCCTCTATGTCAAATCGTTCATAATTTGTGAGGAACTACGTAGTGACTACCGGGTTCATATGGTTCTGTGTTAGATGGCGCCACCACAGAACTGTCAAACGTTTGACAGTTCTTCGACAAAAAGTAAATTCAAATCATACATTATTAGATGTTAGATGTGTACATTTATAAACAAATATGTAGTTTTATTTTTTATTTGTACTTAATTCCATGTGTGCATTTATAAACAAATATGCAGTTTTATCAAAAATCATCTTGTATTACATAAAAGAAAAGAAAGAAATCAAAAATATCCAGTACAAAGTGGTACAAATGCAAGTACAAATTGATTATAATTATATTTCAAATGAAATCATGTAGTTATATTATATTTTTTATGTTAATTTCTATTTTTATGTGTTTTTCTTAAACTAAGCTCTTGTTTGGTTTATAATAAAATTTAGATTATCTAGTGAAAATTTATATTATCTGTAGATATTATTTTGTTACAATTGTATATTCTTATTGCAGGTTATAACTCATAAAAAAAACAAGGAACATAAACATTTTAACTCAAATATGATTTGACTTATATTTAAATTCTAAACTGAAAAACAAGGATGATGAATAGAAGATCACAGTTTCGAGTAAGTTTTGTTGCATGCGAGATTTATTTTATTTAAGTGAAAACTGAAATATCCAACTGTGATTTATATTTTCCAATAAATTTACTAATTCAATCTAGTATATTAAACTTCAGTTTTAATCACATAAAATTACCAATAAATTATATTACATTTACAGTTTGTTTTTGTATCCTACGTAACTATACCAATTCATATATTTGACTTTTTGTTAGATACTTGTGAGTAATTGTACAAAAGCGCTTTTCACTCACAAGTATCTAACAAAAAGTCAAATATATGAATTGGTAAAGTTACGTAGGATACAAAAACAAACTGTAAATGGTACAGAAAGCAATTTAGGCGAATGTAGATGAATAAATTAAATGATTACAATCATTATCTTAATGAAAAAGTCATTCTTTCATTAAGATTCATATAGTAGTTTGAAGAACTGAATATCGAATATTGCTTTCTGACAAAAACAACAGTTAGTTTTAATGAAATGATTATTGATGTTGATGTGCTTTGAAAAGTATATTAATTTCTATCATTAGAATACTAAAAACAACCTTTAGTTCTAAATATTTCATTAATAGCCATCAACATTGTGTGAATTTAATATGAACATATAGCTAATTATTTAATTATTATTGCTAGTGATACTACATTTTACTATTTATGATTACATCTGAATTTTGTCCATTATAGGAGATTCTGAGAATCCAGAGCAACATGCTTATTCAGATTTCCTGACTTCTGAGTATCTTCGAGTTGTAAATCTTACAATGGACAGCCTCCAACACAGACTTTTCCGCTAACTGCATCTCTCACAGTTTCCACAGGCCCCAATGCCACCTTTTTCTCTGTCTAGTTCATTTAGGCAAACATCTATTCATAGAGTTGATTTGAAATAGTCTGTCTACAGCCTGCAGAGGCAACAAACTATGAAAAAGGATGAATAATATTAAATATGAAACATGAATGTTATAATGATGTACAAAGTGAGTTGGAACAAACAAAGGATCCTTTGTTCCTTCGAGAAGAAGTGAGACGACAGTAAAAATGTTTAAAGACTTGGTTTAGTTATATGTGTTTTTATATTGACATTTAAGGCCAGCGAAGTATTTCTTGTAAATCTTATGAACTGTTTGAAACAATTTTTTATACATCCTATGATTTTCAATTAAATTAATATCTTAATATTGTTAAGATAATAAAAGTGCCACATGTTCTGGCAAAGTATAGATACCATTCTATTTGTAACTTAATTATTTATATATTTAAACTTTGAATGTATATGATCAAACAAATAAGCTTAATTTTTTAAGATAATTAAAAAACAAATGTATAGATAATTTTGGTTATACTTGTTAGACTTAGTATTTAACTAAAAGATCTATAATTAATTTATATTATAATAGCTATTGATTGGGAAATATTTTTATGAAAACAAATGTATTCAAATTGCTAGTTTAATAGTTAAGTGCATCTTTAAAGAATGTATATTATAGTAATGATATTAATATGTAAATACATGTATATTGAATGATAGTCATTTTACAATTGCACAGTTAGTGCAATCGACTGTGATATAATAATAAGAAATTGTTATCTGTAACTATTATATATAGTTTATAAAAATTATATATTACTTTTAAAGTTATATATTATGAAGTTATATTAGTTGTTAATTATATTAGTAATATTTTAAAATAATATAAATAAATGTATAAAAATTTAATTTAATTCTTTTATTTTAAAGTATATGTGCATTTTAATGAACTTTTCAGGTTGCTTTTGGCAAACAATATTAATAGCCGTAAACAAATATTATTTTGACTCAATTTTAAACATATAATTACAATCATGGATTGTGACATCCATTTTATTGATTTAAAAACATCTATTTTTCGTTTTACTATATTTAATATTCATAATAATTACCACCATCATTTTAGAAGACGGCCCTGCGCAATACTAGTGCCATTTCATTTTCGGATTTGTGACTGTTACCCTGGTAGTATGGATCGATTTCAGTACAAAAATGTTCGGCAAAAATTAATTTTCATACAAAATCGATTTATCCTGCCAGGGGAACAGTCACAATTTTGAATTTGACATCGCGCTAATATAGCACAGGGCCGTCAGCTGAAATGTTAGGGGTAAATATTTTGAATATTGATTTAAATTAAAAATGCAGTTTATTATTTTGATATATTTTAATAAGTTTTTGCGTTGGATATACTATTTTAGCATTAATATTATTGCGTAAACATTGCAAAAAATAAAAATATATAAAAACTGTCCAATAATTGCAAATAAACTGTCCAATAATTAGCAATTGCAAAGTTTGTGAGCTGTGTTCGGATTTTTTGTGGACGTTTTCTTAGAAACTACAGTACTGATTATAATATTTTTTTATAATTAACAGAAAAATGCTATATTTTTTGTCCGCGTTTTGGCCAGAAACTTTGAACAGATTTTAAAATTTCATAAACGGTTCAAAGATTACCTGGGCCATTTTGTTGTAATTAGTTAGACAATACAAAACAAAATTTATTTTGTAATTAGTTAGGTAGTGTTATAATTTAAAAAAATGCGTATATCCGTAATAATATAATAAGTGCAATTATCACAATAATTCCGACTTTTTAAAATAATTTACATATTTGTTTAAAATATTTAAAGTTGTTTAAAATACGGTCCTGATTTCTTGGTAAATTCGTCCTGCTTTTTGATTGGTTGGCTCCATTTTGAATAATATGAATACATTCAATTCTAATATTATCTAGGAATATGACATTTCTGCGCGCCTAATACAATTTGACAGCTGTTAAAACATGTGGGACATTTATTGTATGACCGTCGATGTGAATGCATCGCTAAATTAAATTATTAAAGTTTATGTTGCAGTTGTGTGTTTTAATTATTTCTATTCTCGCTTCATTTATAGTGCCAGTTTATAAGAAAAAAAAGGAGAAACATATTCAATATAAGAAAAAATAGAATCGAGTAGAGCGGTTTAAATGGATATTTTCTATTGATGGTTATTTCTTTAGGGAAATCTGCTTCAAAGATGATCACGTTGTACAGGTGCTGCACAGGATTCTAATATTTAAGGAAGAAATAGCATATATTTATTGAAAATATTATAGATGTATTCATGTGAAGCAAAAATCTTGAAATCATTCTCAATTTCAAAATGATTCAAACATAGTATTTAAATTAAGAGATGATCCTAGGAGAGATAGCTATCTTGACAGCGAATGACAAAAAATTTTAATGTCAAGTATTCTCTGTAAGTATTATAATTGATTGAATATTATCACCGATTTAGTTAAATCAAGACGAAGATCTATCATAGCTATAGGAAAACATAGCACAAAATGTACCAGTGTACGTATACATGTATTTATGTGTATGTATACCTATATAAAATATATTTTGCAGAGCAATATTTCCTTTAGAACTAAGCAATCATAGGTACATCAAAATTTTACATTTATTATTTTATTTGATTCATATACTTCTTTGAAATTTTAGGACAAGCAGCTTATCATGATGTTGACAGTACATACTTTTACTTATACTTATATAAGTATATCCAGTAGAATTTGTTTTTATTTCTTCGAGTATTTAAAGTATTGAAAAAAATGCTTATACTTATTAAATTAGTGATGATGATTTGTAAGAAAATATTTGTGGGTACAATAAAATAGAAATACAATGTAGCAATGAACTTAAGATTTTGTAATGATGTTTTAGATATCAAATACATCTCAAATATCTATCAATTGTAGGAAGCACATAAAACTTCTATCAGCAAGATTTCAAAGCAGCCGCTACATGAAGTTTGGCTAATGGTGCTGGCTTTTTCGAATTATCAAATTAATTATATGTAGATTAAACCTAATGCAAAGCATGGTAAGAGTTCACCAAAATACCAAAATTACAATTGAAGCAAATTTGATGTAATTTCAATACACAAATTTTTTAATTCATGAATTAATAACTTATATATGAACCGATTAACTTCAATAGACATCAGCTATAGAAAAATATGTAATCAGTTTCATAATTTCTTCATAAATATCTAAGGGCATGAATATTATGTATAGCAGATGGATTGTTAGGTTAACTTGTGAATTGTTAATTAATTATTCTCAGAGGTAAAATAGCTTTATTATAATATTATTACAATTAAACAACTTTGTTTGATAGAAAACATATTTTAATAATAATAATGCTATGCAAATATTCCTAGTCATCTCGATTTAATATACTAGTATTATATTTGTTCATAATGATATGAAAAAAATTGTCAACAACTTGCAGTAGCAAACAAAGAATGAATAAGGAAAATGAAATGCCTGAGCATGATGAGATATAATGATTTATAAAGAGCTGCCTTTGAAGCATTCAATGTTGAATATTATTTACTGAAGCTTCTTAAGGGAAATTTAATTTAATTTAGTTAATTCATTAATGATATCCTTCTAATTATCTGTATTGTATTAGTTTTTACTGTAAAACCAATTCAATAAAAATTAGAAATGTACTTATGTAGTTTTGTTAGTTTAATTTCGATGGAGAAAAAGTTGAATGCTAGTATTCAATAATTGTAAGTGAAATGTTAAAATGGAATAAAATTTAAAATCTTAGAAATATATTTATATTATATTTTCTTATGCAAAAATGCTACCTATGTATAACTTTCAAATTATTAAACAAACTATATTGGAAAATGTGTACATTTATTTCAATAACTCATTTTCAAGTATGCCTGTATGTTTCAGTTGAACTAAATGATTATAAGTGTACAATTGTATCCAAGAATCCCATATGATTTAAAAACCAACTTATAAAAGAGCAAGTTGTACAATTTTGTGATTTACATATAAGTTTTTAATTAGATTTATATGCACAGCTCTAATTTTCAAGTGTGTAGGTTCAAATTTTAAATTGCCGCCAAATGCTGCCTTGTGGGGCATGGGCTCCAGGTTGGACAACATAAGAAACACAATAATTAAAGTGAATGACACGTGAATCGCAAGAACTGTCATAGAAATGTCAAATACTGTCATTTCGTTGCACTGCCAAAATCGTGTCCAAAAGTCTCAATAAAAATAGTTTATTCTCGTAACATTTTCAATTTCCTGGTGTGCTGAACGATATTTGTTATTAAAAGGAACTGCATATAAATTTTAGAATCACAAGAATGTTTTTAAACTTCGTATTAATTATATAAATAACTTTGATACTTTGCACCGGGGTTTTCCTAGAAATTATGACAAATTTTCTGGTGACATATTAATCGTACTATTCTGTGATATTTTTGCCAATGTCTTTTTGATCATCTTTCAAACTTAATTAGTTTAATAATGTGCTAAGCATGTCCGATCCTGATAATGATAAATCTCTAAATGATAATCAAGAATATAGTGATAAAAATGTTCTTTTATCATACTCGATACCCGGCGTAAAAACTGAAGAGAATTTCTCTTCTTTGCGAAATTTTTTAAATGATGCTCAGAAAACGAGCATTGTTCGACAAGGTTCCATTGGAAAAAAATCGGGAAGTGAGGCTACTTATGAAACAGATTTAAAATCAATGTCATTAGCAAGTATGTATGAAAATGGGAGTCACTTATCCAATGATATGGACACTGTAAGGTAATTAAGAAGCATATTTACATTTGTTATTCCATATTTATTCATTATCCGCTAAAATATTATTTTTTTACCACTATTATTTATTTTATAACTGCTCTATACTGCAATGAAAGCACAAATTTCTCCTGCAAAATATATTAATATGATGGACAAAAATTAATAAACTATGAACTTTTAATCATCAGCTTAATCTTATTAATGTATATGAACTGATTTACAAAGTATTGTAATTATTTTATACACTAAGATCATTACTTTACAACTTCAATGATAAAATTCTTTTTTTTAGAATCAAATACATATTTAAATTCTGAATTAATAACTATGTTTATAAATTTTAGAGATGCCAACATTTCGCCAGAACAGAGACGAAGTAGTACTTTGCTATCTGAAGCTATTGAGATGGACACCACAGATGCACAAAAGTATATTAATCAATCACGATAAGCTGTGATAATAACACATTATTACATTTATTAAATGGTTTTAGTTCTACTCCTGATCCGTTTCCTGGTGACAATATCAATCCTTCATTATATTTCAATGATGGCATCAGATCAATAGATTTTGTATTAGTTTGGATTGATACTGAAGCTAAAAATAAAAATAGTAGATCAAAGAAAGAAGATACACCATCAAAACTTAAAGATAGAATAAAAGATGCCAAAACTAAAAGGGAAGTTTTTGAAACAAATCTTATGAAAGAGGATTGGAGCTCGAGAGGGAAACTGTTGGAAATAACGAATTTCATTTTATAAAAGTATTTTACTGCATTTTTTATTATATTATTTTAATTTTCATAAATGTATAATCATTTTGAATTATGTTCATAGATTCACACACCATTAGAAGTATTGAGAAGATATAGTGAAATTTTGAAACTACGGATGCCTATGAGAGATGTAAGTACTTAATTATATATGAATCTTAAATATTCACTTATAAAATATGAAAACAAAAATATGATCGCTCCAGAACATAGCATAAAATGCTATATTCTGATATATAAATGGTAATATTTGCATTTAAACAAATGATTAACTGATTATATAAATATTAGAGATCAACATTTCAATTCATAACAATATTAAACATAACAATTGCTTATACATGAAATTATATCACATCTCACACAAAATACGCTGAATTAATTTTTATGATGTCATTTTGTTCCAGTTCACAACTTTAATGTTTTCTATATTGTGTTCATTAGAATAGTTACAATATTTTTATTTTTATAGAACCTGCTACTTAGATGTTAATTTTTTAATATTTCTACAATTTTGTTGATAAAGAAAATATATTTCTGCTAGTTGAATGTCAAGTATTTAAAAAGAATGCTCCTCACACCCTTTTCATTAAAACTGGCATTTGAACTAAATATTGTCTTGTCATGTTATTTAAAATTGTACTAGTGGCGCATTATGCAATTTAACAATTCTTATTATTTTGGAGACATTTATTTGGTTATAATAATTTTCATATAACACAGTCTTTTTCGGTGGCGCAGAAGGGTAACCGCTCCAGTGCAATACTAAATGCTACACAGTATCTAAGTGAAAAGGTACTATTGTGGCTGAATGAGTTTACTTACATGGGATAAATAATATTTGTTGTGGAAATCTATTCTTATTCTCACACAAACACATATTATAATAATATAATACTTATCAAAATTATTTTTATCTTAAATAATTCACACAATTGGCTGTATTTTACTAAATTATAATAAAAAAGTTGTTACTATATTTCTAGAAGTTTTCTAAATATTTTATTATATTTTTTATATTATATTCTTATATTTTTTTTGAAGTTTGGAGATACATTTGGTTATCTTGCATTATAAGCTGAATATTTTTTTATTTTATTTATAATGTAAATTATTATAATTTAACTTAATCATTCTTTACTTAACTTTTACTTATTTTTTGTATTAGCATGATTTTTTGTTGTTGCCGGAAGTATTTTATTGTTAATATGATTATGTGAGTTTAAAATAACTAACAAACTGGAAATTGCTTGTGAAATGATTTTAATTAACAATGGGGAAACTGCTTTTGTGTATACTACTCTCTTAATGTATTCTATTTTTGCATAAATTTGGTGTTTACTGAAATACTAATTCTGAAATTTCTTTCACTCTGAATATGAATCTGAATGACCCATTATTTCTCTCTAATAATACTGAAAAAACTGTGTGGTTTCAACTAATGGACGCATGAATCAATTAGGTATAATTCCATGTTAAAACTGGAAAATATTAAAACAGTGTTACTTAATTCACAAAAATAAATTATAAGTTTTCACTATTGGCTAAAAATATTTGTTAATATCTTATGATTTTATATACCATATATTTTCAATATTATGATTAATACTTGTTTTATTTTTATGTGTATGTTTTTGTATATCTATATAATTTATTAAATCTCGTTGATTTAATTCTCATAATTTTTTATCTATATTTTAGATACCTGGTCTAAAACAAGTGAAGTCTAAAACGACCTCAATGTACGATAGATTTTTCTCACGGTTCTTTGTCGATGAGAAAAAGTTTCCTAAAAAATCACATAGATTCACTGCTGTTTATTCAAGAGATAAAGAATACTTGTAAGTTTATTTAATATTCTCTCATAATTAATTTATTTATAATTTTCAATATTTCAGATTTGATTTAGATCAAGAAGACTTTTTTTCTGCAGGTATTCGTTCTAGAATAGTTAAGTTTATATTAGACCGCAAAAGGTTTTCCAGAGATGATACAGATGATTTTGCATTTGGAATTGATAGACTGATTTCTGGTGGTGTATATCAAGCTGCTTATCCCATCCACGATGTAAGTATTTTTTTTTTCAAATTACAAGTACATATGTAAAATGAATTATATGAAGTAGGGAAATAGATTTTTTTGTATAATCTCCTAATAATAATTAAGTAATATATACATTATAAGGGTTTATTTTTGTTGATTTCTGCAGGGGGATCTCCACACAAAGGGCTCTGTAAGAAATCTTTTACTTACTGAATGGGCTTCGGTGTGCAAATCTTTTCATTATCAACCACTAGATCATGTCAAAGATTATTTTGGAGTTAAAATAGGTAAGCTTACAGCAATATTTTACTATTATATATTTTAGTTTAATTGAAAACGTTTAATTGTGCCCTTAATAGTTTTGTTATACAAATTTAATATTTAATAGGTTTATATTTTGCTTGGTTGGGTTTTTACACGCACATGCTTATACCTGCTTCTATTGTTGGACTCATTTGTTTTGCGTACTCATGGCTGAGTGTAGAGAATAATCCTGTAAGGTAAATAAATTATTGCATTTGAATAATATAATTATAAGACTATAGCCGAGATTATTAGCTTTAATAATTTTTATTATTATAATATATTATTTTAGTCGTGATATTTGTGAGAATCGTGGTGACATTGATATGTGTCCTCTATGTGATCATTGGTGCGGATATTGGAAATTGAATGAAACATGTTTCCATGCAAAAGTCACAATTTTATTTGATAATCCTACAACTGTATTTTTTGCCATATTTATGTCTTTCTGGGGTAAGTTGTTTTACAAAATGATAAATGGTAATACTTCCTATGATAATTAAATTTATTTTTATCAGCAACACTCTTTTTGGAGCTGTGGAAAAGGTATTCTGCTGAAATTACTCACAGGTGGGATCTAACAGGTTTTGATATTCAGGAAGAACATCCGCGTCCACAATATTTAGCTCGTTTAGCTCATGTAGAACGCAAGATGATAAATATCGTAACAAATACTCTGGAACCTCATGTGCCTTTTTGGAGAGTCAAATTACCTGCAACAATATTAAGTTTTTCTGTAGTTTTGTTATTGGTAAGACAATATGTTTATGGTTTGTAATATAATGATGTAATAATTTATTAATAATATATGTAATATAGGTTGCCTTAGCTGTAGTTGCTGTTCTTGCTTTAGTTTTATATAGAATGAGTGTGTTAGCGGCATTGAGTGTTTATGGGGACAATGTTATCACTAGTTATGCATTATTATTCACAACGGCCACAGCCGCCTCTATTAATTTATGTTTAATTGTTTTGTTTAATATGGTAAGTAATTTTTATTATTTTTATTGATTTTTAACACACTTTTTTATGATGCAAATATTTTAGCTTTATTCATGGCTAGCAGAATATATGACTGAAGTAGAATTGTTAAGGACACAGACTGAATTTGACGATTCCTTAACATTAAAAATATATTTGCTACAATTTGTTAACTACTATGCTTCTATATTTTACATTGCATTCTTCAAAGGAAAATTTGTGGGTTACCCTGGAAATTACAATAGGCTATTTAAATATAGACAAGAAGAGGTACCTTATTTTATAGAAATTAATTACTAATTAATTATATATTATATTTTAAGTAAATCCTTAATTTTTACTATTTTTCCTCTTTAGTGTGGATTGGGTGGCTGCTTAATGGAATTATGTATACAACTTTCTATAATTATGGTTGGAAAGCAAGCAATGAATACAGTTCTTGAAATGCTAATGCCACTTGTTTATAAATGGTGGAATATATTGAAAGTCATTGGAAGAAAAGGATCAACTAAGAATGTCCGAGGATCAGCAGTGCGATGGGTAAAAGATTTCAAACTTGTAGAATGGGGTTCACGCGGATTGTTCCCTGAATATTTGGAAATGGGTAAATACTGTTAGTAAAGGAAATATCTCTAATAATAATTGTATTATAATACAATTTTATATTTTCAGTTTTACAATATGGTTTTGTGACTATCTTCGTATCCGCGTTTCCCTTAGCACCTTTATTTGCCTTGTTAAATAATATACTAGAAATGAGGCTTGATGCCAAGAAACTTCTAACGTTTTATAGAAGGCCAGTCACACAACGAGTGAGGGATATTGGTGTCTGGTTTAGAATATTAGATAGCATAGGAAAATTATCAGTAATAACAAATGTAAGTATGGTGCTTGTATAAATTATTATTTACTCAATGATATTTTAGTTTATATATATTATATTTTTAGGGATTCATTATTGCTTTTACAAGCAATTTTATACCAAAGCTTGTGTACTCTTTAACCAAATCACCTAATAGATCATTGGAAGGCTTCTTGGATTTTTCATTAGCTAAATTTAATACAAGTGAATTTCAATATCGAAGACCTGAAAATATCACCGAATGTCGGTAAGTAAATGTAATTCTGCAAATATAGCGCACAAATGTCTTTGTTTTAATGTACTACAAAACTACTTACATTCAACCAAGTGTAATACTCAGTTCTTTTACTTGTACTTAGCTACCCAGACTATCGTGAGCCCCCAGATTCACCGAATCGTTATGAACTCTCATTAGACTATTGGCACATTCTTGCGGCGCGGCTAGCATTTGTCGTCGTATTTGAGAATGTAGTTGCAGTAGTGATGATATTTGTACGATGGGTTATACCAGATATGCCTCAACATTTGAGGGATCAAATTCGACGAGAAGCTTACATCACTAATGAGATAATCATTAAACAGGAAGCGACTAGAGCGCGGGGAAAAGGTGGGTATAGTTTTACAAATCAATAAAAATATGAACAATCCTATAAACAATCAATTATTACTAAAAGTCATTACTAATTCCTTTTTCAGACTGTCAAATGCTGGATAATGTAGTATCTCAGCAGTGGGCTACTTTATTGGACAGGACTCTATCTGGGTCTCAACTTGACTTAGAAATTTCTCGACGACAAACTTTCCAAAACACAGGACAAAGTAATGGATCTATAAATGACAACATGAGGATGAGCGGTGAGCAAACTCAAAGTCCATCTACTTCAGTTTATGAGCATGTTACAGAAGTCTAAATTAAAATCTACTGCCTTTATTAACAGTATGGCAAATCTTTAAGCCTTCTTCTTGTACAAAAGTAGCAATCATTTCACATGAGAATAGAATGATTTGATCATAATTAATAAACAAATAATACATTGAATATATTTTTCACCAGAAAGATTTTCACTAGCATATATTTATATATAAAATTAAACAAAAATAAATTCTAGGTATAATCAATGCTTAATTATTTAATCCGTCCTACTTTGTGAAATGATTGAATGCTGCGCACAACTAACATAAATATTAGTTTAAAGAAAATCTATGATTTACAAATTGAAGCACTGCAAACATTTTAATCCTTAAAATGTATATAAAACAATTATTTTTATCATATTGACATAACAATTTAATATTATATTTATAATAGAAATGTTAGATCTAATTTCTCTACTTCTTTGCCTATAGCAAAGCAAATGTTACTCTTAATCATGCTTTAACAATATTTCTGTTTATGTGCAAAGAATCAATACATTTGCTTCCATTTGTTATACACATTCATATATTTAATGCAATCAAATTCTAGTGAATTAAAAAATTTTTATTTATTTTTTGCACATAAATATGTTTACATTTATATCCAAATGAAATATTTAATTGGTACGTGGTATTTATCCCAAAGGATTATAAGTGGTGTTGGACATCTATTTACATCTTTATTTCCTTATTTTTATGTTTATTGATTATTATTAAAAAATCTATCAATCAGATGTAAATATAATTAACTGGACAAACTAGTTTTTTTATAGAGCTAATTTTGATGGCTGTAAATTAATTTTAAAATTTATTAAATAGTTAATATATATTTTAATTGATTGTGACAAAATAGATATTATCTATAGCAAATTAAAGTGTGACCCCTTATGAAATTATTAGTTATAGTATATTTATATTACTTTATATATTATATAATAATGTTGTGATTTATTATCATTAATAGTGTTTGCTTAAAATTTTGCAAAAAATGTAAAAGAATCTCGCGAAAATTATTCTCATGTATACGCGAACGCTTTTATCTGCCTTTTAAAAAGGAAGACCATCTATAAATTACGTGATTTTTGATTTTTGATTATTCAAATCCTGTACAAATCTCAATAAAATATTCGGTTTTCTTTTCTATGACACATCTAAGAGCAAAAATAACATAACTTTGTATGTCTCAATTTTTCCAAATTTGTTGTGATTTTTCGTAATTAATGGATGATCTCTCATAATTAAGCTATTTTGCACACATATATCATCACAATTTATAGTATTAATATACATTTACCAACTTCTTTTATAATCCGCTTTTTAAATATTGACTAATGATATAGCTTTCTATGATGAAAACTGCCTTGCTATTTATGATATATATATAATAAATATTTGTGATTATTATTAATGTTCCTTGAATGTCATATGGCTTTACAAAATATTATTTACAAACATCAGGATGCTTAGACGTGCCAAAATAAATCAATCATTAATAACGTGTTAGTGCTGATGTATGTAAATGAGACTTCACTATTATAAAAGTATAATAAAAGTAAATATTTTAACAAATCAAATCGTTCATATCAATCAATGAAAATCACTTTTATAATGCTTTTTTTAAACAATGATTTTAGTCAATAGTTGTAGTTTACTTTTTTAAATACCCATTGTTATTAGACAAACAGATATTATAATCTATATTATATCTTTAATCTAATCCTGTTGCAAAGTATTATATAAAATAACTTATCAGACCAAATAGTTTATCAAGTACTATATAAACAAAAAACTATATGAAATAATATAAAGGACATAATTATATATATAATTTTTTTCTCAAATCAGTATAAAGGTCATGCCATGTGTCAAATGGTTTTCTACCAAGATTTATATTATATCACAAATATATTTAATGAAAAATATAAAATAATTATATATTACTAATGTATCTTTGCAAAAATATTTTTCTTTCATATAATTTTTTATATCTTTCACGTTTATTAGGTATATGCAGAATTTTCAAATTTGAATATTGACTTGAAATATATGAAAATATATAGTTTTGCTTTACTGATAAAAGTTACATTTATAAAATATTTAGTGATCATTTTTTATATATTTTTTAATATTATAATTGTTAAATTGTATATTTTGTTCAAAGCAACCGAAGTGGTTATTAATGATAAATATAATTTTATTTAAAATATTACCTTCCGGCTGTGGTTTCTAACTAAGTTTAAACTCTTTGTCTAAATTTTTAAAAAGTCACACTAAATTTTGAAGATAGAAATTCTATTTTTATATCACTAACATGCACAATGATAACGATAGCACTGCATGGATTCTAAATTTTGGAACAAGGTATACATTTGTAAAAGTAAACACCATTCTTAGAATTTGTATAATAATTTATACATTTATTTCAGATATTGAAGAAGAGTTTTAATTTCTTGCCTTTATTATATTTATGTAAACGATTATACCAAAGCAGCTG